CTGTACATTCGTCCGTACGTCTCAAATTCACTATTTTCCAAACTTTCACGACTTCATTACCTATGCCTCACTAGACGCTAGCCGCGCCTTTACAGCCACGCCTACATGCCAGCGTGGCCGTGATTTTTCAAGCTTTATTTTAAACTTCTGCTTTTGCTTACAAACAACAGATAACCAGGCAAGTTGGTTCCGAGTGACGAGCAAGACGATGGGATGCGAGCTGAGACATAACCTTTGCACCATTTTTTGGAAAGGGGAGAGGTGTCTACGAAGTGGGCGGAGCCTCACGCAGCAGTCCAAAATTGCGAGAACTTTGAAAAAGCCGCAAAAGTGGGCTTGCAGTACTGTCCAGTGAAGCATAGTTAAGTAAGTCCTGAATTTGGCTTGAAAGGTGGTGGATTTAGTTTGAAAATTCGTGAACTGGCAGTGAAAATGATATCTTTCCGACTTTAAAACTGAGGGTCGTGTTAAGAATGCCTGTAGTAAGTACCGCACATTGCGAGTGTGTTGCCCACATGTTCGTTCCTTCATCCCTTCACATATTGCTGACCTTTACTCTTTTTTTTCGGACTCTGTGCTGTCTTGCAAGCGAATCATGACTTTTTGTCACTATCACCGTTACTGCTTGTCTGAACTGATTTATTAAGCATTTTGTGGGGAGTCAGCCACCTGCTGGTTCTTGTGTTTTCTCTTCCCTGTGAGAGTAGATAGAGTTCCATCTACTAATACAAAGGGCACAGCATCGTGCTGCGTGAAATAGCGGTATCAGTACGACACCCCCACCCTTTCCGGCTCAAATTCCTTGCCCTGCCGAGAAGGATCATATATGTAATATTCGCAAGCGCTGGCGGCCGCGTTATGATTCCGAGGTAAATTAGCGGTGGAGCAGATCTGTCGGCCGGGTGGAAATTGCAGGACTTCTTTGTGGGCGGTATCTTTTTTGGTGTGGGATTTTTGGAAAACGGGAGGCGGGCACGTGAAGCAGCATCTCTGCTGTAGCATTTTCTAGCTACTCGCAAACTGAATTTTCCCCATTCGTGAAATATTTCGGATGGATTACGCACGCGTTAAAGGTAAATCACAAGCGGGTTTCTATGCTTCAGGCATGAAATAATCCTTTCAAACTCAAGCTTTTGCAAAACTAAGAACGCCATCAGACCCCGCAATTACAAGCTCAACAGAAAGATATTTTAGATGGGTCACCGTTTGGCCACATTCTGAGCCAATCAAAAGGTCGACTGCTTCTGTATCATTGTAAGGATAGTCATTCGCGAACTTTCACGTGCCTAAAATTACATATTCCCTTTGAATTGTAGTGCGAACACATTTGTATCATTCGATCGCTTGGCCGAGCTTGCGCCGGTTCACGCTCTACGTGGGAAGGTGGTGGTTTTGTCCATGCAAGCAGATGTTTTTTTAAGGTGTTGGAAAGGTCGATACGCATGAATCTGTTTGAGACGTTTCAACAGGTCATCGACGTACTTACGAGTTCATGCTAGCTATTGATATTGCTAATCAATTGTTTCAATAATTTGTAGTCTTCCTTACATCCCGGGTCCTCTGCAGCTTTCCGTTCACTCCATCACACTTAGCATGACATTTTTGTACTGTCTGGTGTTCACCGACCCTGTTTACACTCCCCCCCCCCCCTTCCTCAGCGGCTAGGTACGACCCCCTCATGGGTTTCGCACAACGATGCTGTACCCTGCTCATACACATCTGAACCTGCCATTTTCCTTAATATTTTTGCTTAGGTTTATCTGGTAGTTTTATTCAGGTTGTCGATTCTGGCGAAAACATCCTAGCCTACTATGCACCATGCGCCCCTGCAAATGGTAATTTTTACTCGTAGGTCTCTCCGATTCATCTGCTCCTTGCTCGAACTGTAATCTTATCCTATCACTTCAGCGAGATGCTTGAAGTTTAGCTCAGTGAAGTTGGCATTCAATGGTGAAGTGGGAGGAGTTCAGGTAAATTATTTGCTAAACCTGCTTGGAAAAATAAACGGAAACAAATTCAAAACAAGAAAAGTTTGACGTTGGATGGATTCTGGTCACTGCCTGCATATCTGTTGGAGCCGCTTGTGTCGCTATTGCTTCGCGGCTTGAAATTGTTCTTCATGTAAAATCCTTGGGTGTGAGCGTGATGACCAGTTTTTTCCTGCTCTCTTCGCCAGCATCAGCGAAGACGGTATTCCCCTAGTGAAGGGAGATACACTTTTTTAATTCCTGTTGACATGCCAGAAAATTATCCATTATTGTAGGCATTCCTTAACTTGTGTTATTGTGTGTATGCTGTGTCGATGCGGAATTTAAGTTCTTAGACTCAACGTCAGAGGCAGAGAGTTCAAAATGATGACAGCATATGGCGAGGGAGGGCGAGGGGGGGGGGGGTGTATTAATGGTGAGGCTGACAGAGTCATAATGACTGATCAACCTCAAAGTGGTGTCATAAAGGGGAGAGACAACTCATAGCCGGCCGTACAGCACGCACGGGGCCAACAAAAAAGGCACTGCGGCCGAGATCAGTTAAATTTCGCAGCCCAAAGAAGACGTGCACACGAGTACCAGGTGGAAGATGGTTCTCATAACAGGAATAGGCTCTCATCCATCACCTTCATGTACAGAAAAATATGAAGCCATCTCCGATCGCAGCCTGACTGGAGAAGGTCTGTGGAATTCAAATCACCTCCAAACGCCGCGAAACTTCTTGTATGGAGTCACCCATGAGTGGCTACATGGGGAGCAGCACTCTTGATCTGGAGGACCTCCAGCATCCAGCAGCTCCGACAACGTCGCCTAAGGTCCAGGATATCATCTTCACCACAGTCGCCAAGGCGCGGTTGATGGTGTGGACCGGAAGCTCCTGGAATGGAAAAACCGATATTTTCTTTGTGGACCCCGGACTGAAAGTAAACGCTGACGGTCACCGGCCAATTCGAGGAAAACATCCTTCCCCCTGCCGTCGCCTGTGCCATCTTGGAAACTTCCTACTGCTGCAGGATTGAGTGCCAGCGCGTGGATCGAAGGGCGTTGGAAAGACTCGCCTACTTGGAATCGAAGGGGCTGAGTACCTAAAGAAGATGGAATGTCCAAGTAGGTCACCTGATCCAAAGTCCCTCGATTACCGGGTTCAGGTTACTACCGGCCTCAAAAGGTTGTCGCCTACTAGTAACGGGTGGAAGAAATCACGATTGCAGAACTCAGCGCCGGATCGCGATCGCTGGCAGAATCTCTCGATGACCTCCGTCCAGAAGGCTGTGGTAGAGCGTCGTGATAGTGTACAATGTATTTCTGAATTTGGTGGCGAAAACGTTCAGTCAGAATCTGATAAAGTGTGACTTACAGCACCTTGAAAGTCGAAGAAGAATGCCTTTCATTATTGCCCCACTATAGATGGCACTTTTGCGTTCCGTTTTTAAATCAGCATTACGGGTCATTTAGTACGCGCAGTCTCCATCCTAAAAGCCCAGGAACATTAACCGTTTCTTCGTCAAGTACTGGTGCGCCTGCCTCCACCACAATGGCTGGGATAGCAATTGGCATCCCAAGTAGATAGGCGAATTATTTGCGCATTAAGCGCCACAAAAATTTTTCCCTTCTCAGGTCGATTTTCTCAACCAGAAGAGAAGTAGAACTAGGAGTATGCTGACGGTCTGGATGAAAATTCCATACATGCCGCTCCTTCTGTGCCCTTCTATTTTCCTGGGTTGACTCTTCTCATTCGCATTCTTTTATTTCTGGTTGGAACTCGAACATGCTCCACCCCCCAGAGGCTTGGTCGACTTCTTTCATATTCCCGGGATATTTTGCATTGCTAGTACTTGCAGAATTTGCGAATTACAAGTGCAATGCCTGTAAGAATAGGATTCAAAGTCCAATGCACCGACAATACATTGGTTCTTGTAAAAAAAAGTAAACAGGACACCCTTTCCTCTCTATTCGAAACTGATGCATTTTTGAAAATTTCTACTGCCCTACCAATCTTATGTAGATTCGACCGGTGTTTGTATCAATGATTCCGAAAAACCTTCCGCATAAAGGTCAGCCGCAATCCACATCCGAGGAAAAGGGACAAAATGATCCTATGTACAACTGTTGTGAGTAATCATTTTGAAGAACTTTTTTTGTCGCTAAAACAGGTGAGGGCATATCACTAGTTCGTACCGAGGTGGATACCTGTTAATTCGAGGGAAAAGAGCGAGAAATCGTTCACTAGCAACTTCTGGGAGCAAAACGGTATGGCGGATTCCCCAACTAGTTTTCGATAGGACACGTGAGACACTATACGAGTTCCGACATACGATCCATAGTGTGTGGGTACTCTAAAAATCCTTGAAAATTTCATACAAATTGGTGGGGCGGGGTCGCGCGGAAATTACGTAACAATCAGGATCAAAATCCGGTTTATAAGACGAAGACGAAATCAAGTGCTGCGGGGCTTGGTAGTGAGACAGGGTGACCGAACCTGGGAATTGATTCCAGAATAAAAGGCGCTATCAGCGGTGGTTCTAGCTGACAGAAGGAAAATAGTGTTCTGCCATCATCGAACAGCATTGAGTCGAATGGCTCATATTGTTATCGATAGCACCACCCTTTACCTCAAGGATTGCCAACTTTAACAAATGACGACGTGGTCAACTGGAATCTTAATAATAAATTGGCCGAAAGTGGCATTTAAATGCAGTCATCAGCTGTTGGTGAAGGCAATGCGTGTTCAAATGAAGTGCATAGCTAAGCCTTCCTAATCTCCTAAATGTGGAGCGCATCACTGATGAAGCACTTCTTCTTCTTCCTAGCTTTGGCCCGGCTCCGTCGCACAGTCTGCTGCCCTTTTTAGACGTCGCCACTGCATTTTCTGCCGTGGCACTCACTTCAGTAAGGCCCTTCTTATGAAGTTCCTGCATCTTCTCTACGGGGCTCCTCGTATTCACTTTTCTTGTACCTCAATTCCAACGCCCTGCTTATTGGGTAGTCTTCAGGCTTCCCAGTACTGCCCAGACCATCGCAGTCGTTGCTTTCGCGCCTTCAGGTGATTGGAGCCTCTGGATCTCCCTGACCCCCTTTTCTGACTCTGTCCAGCCATGGCTCGCCGCCGCCGCAGCCTCATCTGAGCATCTCATTACAGCTGAGCGGAGCTGCCTTTCATGGTACTTGCATACGGACACATTGCCGCGTTGGGTGCATCACAGGATCAGCATACATTGCCTTGAAGCTTCTCGAGCCACCGCCAAGGCCTCCACGATGAGGCGGGAAGGTGAGGTGCGACTTATGCTTTTATACGAAAGAGCTGCCCTGATGTCCAAAAAATGAGCTGATGCGGTAGTGTATCAACAGCAATGACACACAATGAAGTAAGGCAGGCCAGAAGCAACCAGATAAACTCGAAGCGCAATCTCGCATATGGTTGGATTCCAAAAATTTCGTTCTTGGAGCGGAACACTTTTTGGTCGCGTAACACTTTGAAGGTCAAGAACGGTTTGTACCGTATTCAGTGAATCTCACTTGAACCAGGAACTCCTCACCATTTGGCCTCGTTCAAAATTTCCATGGAACTTTTGGTGGAGCGGCATTCTTTATATCCTTCGTTCTTTGATACTACTTCTTGAATGCTTACTTTGAAGTCTACGCTTCTGGCCACAGGCGCTTCGATCGTGTGAAAAACGCCGAATATTGTACTTTGTTTCAGTTGAGGAACGAAAGAGAATCACAGCTACCGTCATCTTTTCCTGAAGAAAGGCTTGCGGATCACCGAACTGTTTGTTCCACTTACATGCCACTAGAAAAGAGGGGAGAGGAACGTATTATTCAAACAATCACCATCGTCAGTACAATCACTAATTCAGCAATAAATGTTTCAAAGTTTTGATCGTTATTCTGCTGGGATGCTACGATTTATAGTTGTGGTCTCTGCAAAGGCCGGATGGCATCATTGGTGAAGAAGAATGGCTGCGCTCCAATCCACGCCGCGTCACGGGCCCTATCATCTGCAGCAATCATAACTGTACAAGGACGGCAGAACGGCCGGAAATGGAGTTGTGTGCGGGCACGCTTTCCCCACGATATGCAGTGGAAGTAGTACCACTGTGTTCCTTCTCCAGCATTGGGATAGTGGCAAACCCTTTATCAAAGCAGTACAATGCGCACTTAAGGGAAAGCCTCGTGAAGTGGACCTTTTCCATGGGCCAGGCGGGAAGATCAGCAGCTGAAAAAGGTACCATTTTCGTCAACTCCAAGAGGCAATGAAACGGCAGGGTTGAGTAAGGTGGATGTTCTTCTATGTCTCCTCCCAGGGAGCCGGGCAAGAGAACCGTAAATTGCCGCTTCGTCGCGCGCGGCAATGGCGCGACGTTTCCTTAATTTGCACTACCCTTTCGATTGGAGCATCGGATTTCATGTAGACAAGGACATGGTGGACACTTATGTCTATTTTTGGTCATACATTGTCTATTCTCGACCAATTCCACCTAAAATCTTCGTCATTAGCTGGCGCGACGTCGCACGCGACGCTCACTGGCGCGGCAAGTTACGATTCTCTTGCCACATACCCTTCCTCGCGCAAAGAAAGCACTTCACAGACACGGACGCACCGCACGACTATTAGCCATAGCCACAATCGCTTCTTGTCTGACCTCTTACCTCTGGCTGCGGTGTTGTTGTTCCTC